CCGTTCTTCGTCGCAAGTCCGCATTGAGCACATGATCTCGCCATGAGAGGCCCAGCATGGCTCGCTCCATTGTTCGCTGCGTTTCTCTAATTTTGTGGGCCACTTTTTCGTGAGTGTCAGAGTTTCTGCGCCATAGATAAGCACAGATAGGACGCACTGGTTGAAAACCCTCCTTTTCAAACAAATCGGTAAATCGCACGATGTGAGTATGTGCCGGAGTTTCCCGAAGGCAACCCAAGTCAGACCTATTCGTCGTGGCAGTTCACAGGTTTGATTGAATCCCTATTTATTCTTATCGTGTCCCAAGTACTTATAGGATGCGGTTTTCTCCACCTGTACGCCATCTATATATATTCCTTCGCCAAACACCAGATTCGTCATTACCTGCGTCTTGGATATGTTTATCCTCAAGCCTACCTCCTTTGAGGCCATATTCAACCTCTCAAGCATCAAAATGGAATGATCCAGTCGGTCCGTGATGATAACCAGGTCATCTGCGAATCTTAGGTGATTTAGCAATTCGCCATTTATGTTGACTCCTAGACCCTCCCAATCCACACGTTTGCACATGTACTCCAACAAGATAGTGAACAGTTTTGGTGAAATCGTGTCGTCCTGTCTGACGCCTCTTCTGATCTTAAACTTTCTCGTTTCTTCTTGGAGCCTAACGCTAGCTGTAGCATTTCCGTATATATGCTCAATTAGCTTCGTGTATCGGTAGTCGATTCTACAGTCCGCTAGTGCTTTTAACATCTTATGTTGGTCGACTGTATCAAAAGTCTTTTCGTAGTCCACGAATATTAGCACTAGGGATTTGTTGTATTCTATACTTTTTTCGATTAAATTTTTTAATACTAATAGATGATCATTTATACTGTAATTCGACCTAAAACCAGCTTGCTCTCTTGGTTGATAAAGGTCCAGCTTTGCAGTTAGACTTTTAGTGATTATCCTTGTAAAAAGCTTGTATCCTTGTGATAACAGACTAATGGACCTATAGTTTCCCAGATTGGTTATATTTCCCTTTTTATACAGGAGTACTATGTTTGCATTACTCCATTGGGATGGTGTTATTCCCTCATGTAGGCACCGATTGAAGAGACTCCTCAGTGCATCGCAATAACTTGTCTCCTCCATATTTAATGGACTCGATGATAATCCCATCTTCCCCCGGTGCTCTATTGTTTTTCATCTCGGAAAGCACTTGCCTTATTTCATCTGATGTAATATCTGGGATGTCCTCTGAGCCTTGATTCATACTTCTCGGTATTTGCGTGGGCTCAACGTTTCCATCTTGCTTTTCATAAAGATTGCGATAGAATGTCTCTACAATTTGGAGAATCTCATCTCTATTTGTTTTTACAATCCCATGTTTGTCTTCCAGTTTACAAATGTTTTTCTTTCCCGAGGAGATTTTTCGTCTCAGGACTTTTAGGCTTTTATTTTCTTCTATTATTCTGGCAATGACATCCGTATTATACTTTCGTACATTAGAGAAGAAAATAAATATTTTCAATTTCCTGCCAATGTTAAGGCCTATTCATAGCTTGTTAGCTTTACATTTATAGAAATAAGCCTTAAATCGTAAGCAATAAACCAAAATCATAATATTCGATTTCTGTAAATGCGGCCTCAATGTGATAATTTTTCGTTTTTAAGACTAATAATAAACCAATAAACGATAAAATTAGACCAACAATCATCAACAAACGATTACGCATCGATTAGACCGTTCTTTAATTAAAAGTAAGATTTTTCCGGCTAACTTAATGCTAATTTTTCTTTTTTAATTAAAAAAATATATATAAACCAAAAAACGTTGCAATTGGGCCAACAATCACCAACAAACGATTAAAAAAAAATTTTTTTAAGTCGAAGTTGACCGGCTAAGTTAATGGAGCTGCTGAATCCCGGTGATCGCTCTCAGGTATATTTAAGAGCAGCTTATGGGGAATTTCTGTGGTAACATACTGATAACACAGTAGAATCAATAGGTCTGTTCTTTTCAGCTGAACTGAGTACACTAGTTCAGAGGTTATCTTTCAATGTCGAGCAAAAAGGACAACCTCTGAACTAGTGTAGCCAGTTCAGCTGAAAAGAACAGACCTAGTATGTGCACTCCACCCTTTTTCTGGTTTGCGTCAATCCGCCATGTTTTTGGGTGGAACCAATCAGATGCAAGATCAGTGTGATGCTCAGAGACGAAATACTGTGGTCACAGTGTCACATGTAAATGTCTAATGTGCAATAAATGTACGTTTACAAAAGTTATCTTTTTTATATTATTATTTTATTTAAGATATGAATATAAAATTTTTAACAATAAATAATAATCTTATTATTTATAAATTTGTGCTTAAACTAGATACAATAAAAACTGGGACACTTTAATAGTTGATACGCTACTGGGTCACCCAAAAACATGGCGGATAATCAGAAATGAAAGATCAAAGGTGCCGATAGAGAGTCGACATACTGGTTCTACTGTGCTGACAAAAGTGACAAGGAGAGATTATCGCATTCTGTCTTTGTCTCTCTTCTATCATGTGTGTAGTAGCGTCTATAGCGTCCATGTAGACACAAATATTGTACTAATCCGTTGAGCACACGGATATGATTATCAGTGATTACTGTAAGATTAATGTCAACAAGAACCAACTATCGTACCTTTGTTTCTCTGCATATATAAAACAAATAGCGATAGTTTGCTTCTAACATTTTTCCAATAATCATATCGTATTGTATACTACAACTCACATTATATGCAAGGATATTCATTCTGTCATCTTGAAAATTTGAGTTCAAATCTATGGGCATCCATAATATTTTCTTTTCTTTATAATTAATTTTATCCCATTAGAATATATAAAAATGATTAAAAATATACTTTTGAAGACGATTAATTTAAAAATTTTTAAATATTAAAAATATTTCAATAATTTTACAACTATCCCTATAAGCGCATGATATTATTTAATATTTAAGCAATATTCTAGGCGTATTTTTAGAATATTTAATATTCTAAGATAACGCTTAGAATATTAAATAATATATCATGCGCTTGTATGGATATAACACACATTGTATATAAATGCAAAATAATTCTGTAAATAAATTAATCCAATATTTTCTATATTTTAAGAATTCTTTAGTTAATTGTCTTTACAAAAAAATATATTGTATTTTTAATAATTTTTATATATTTCAATATATTATTAAAAAAAAAAATGTTGATACCGATTTGAACTCGAGTTTTCACGGTGACAGACTGAACACCTTTGCACTCAGCCATTATGTACTTTTTTTAAAAAGGTAATTTTTTATGGATTTATAAAACTACAAATAAAATTATTGTTATTTACAAAAAACTGCAAACAAAATGCTATCATTTTCTATATTAAAAATTAATTTTTAAAAAGTTGGGTGCTAAGTTCATATAGATATACAAAATTAGTGTGTGTGTATGTAAAATGTGTGTGTGTAAAATTATGCTTCTATATAAAATCTTGAGCGGTTTATATTTTTAATGCTTATCATGTTTATTAGGTTAGTGATCATTTCAGATATCATATTAAGATAATAATAAAAGTCACTGCTATCCAAGCAAACACAGTATATAAATGTTATATACTTAAGCATGTTACATGTAACGTATATGTTAGTTGTAATTTCCCACTCATAGATGTAACATTTTTAATATTACATATATTACATTGTAGTTATATTGTCATTATATCCCAAGATAGCACTGACTTATCAATACATCAATGTGCTATTTGGTATATAATTACAATATAACTACAATGTAATATATGTTATATTAAAACGTTACATCTATAAGTGGGAAATTACAACTAACATGGATGTTACATGTAACGTACACGTTATATTACTTGTTATATTCCGTTTTATTATAGCAATGTAACAATTATATATCGGTGTTTGCTGGGATAGTACATTATATGTTTTTAATAATATAATTTTTTGTTTAACGAAATTAAAAGAAATAAATATTGTAGGCCAACTAAACGAGCAAAATTACATAAGATATAAAAGATTTATTAATAATTAAATTCTCATTCCATTAGAGAAACAATATACAACGTAAACGTTTCGACTGCACTATAGTCTTCTTCAATACATAAAACTCAAATATTAAAATACAAAGTTAACGATTCTTCGCTGATGAACAAATGGATAAGTAAGACGATTGGTCTGAGATTTCAAGTTTTGCGACATTTAATCATGATTATCGTTTTAACAAGTTCTTCTTCTCGAAATTTCAAGTTTGTGTTGCGAAGTCTAAATAACAAATGTCTCTTTTTGTTATTTGGACTTTAGAAAATTAATTTTTTGTTTAACTTTTTATTCTTTGCTATCATTTATATTAATTTATGTTAATTTATATTAATTTATAAATATTAATTTTGTAATTGATATTAATTAAATTAATTATGTTAATTAATTATTATTGAATTATCTATCTACTTTAAAATAATTAAAAATAATTATTTATTGAATATATATAATATATAAACTATATATTAAAGTCTAATCATTAATTATTTATATTCATTATTTACGTATGTTTTCTATTATTATCTATTACTCACACATGAACCTAACGAAAAAAGTACAAATCATACTAATATTTTCATATATATATATATATATATATATATATAATAATATATAATATATAATGTATATTTAAAATATTCATATAATATAATATAATATATATAAATTTTTTTTATATACATATATATATATAAAATTTATATATATTATATTAAATATGAATATTTATATATATTATATTATATATGAATATGTATATAATAAAAATTATATATATAATCTTCCTATATATATATATCTATATATATATATATATATATAAAATAACATTTATTATATTTTTTACTTAAGAAATTTTATTTTATGTGTGTAATTTGTAAAATGTTTTTGGAAGATCAAGTAAGTATCGGAAAACTTACCAATTAATAGCGATAACGTCATCAATAAAATGATGAAACATTGATTTTTCACTACCATGATTGTACCTTATAAATTTTGTAAATGCTCCGCCCGAGTCTTTTTAAAGAAAATATGTCTTTTGTAATTTGACACTAAATTCAATTATATAGATTTTAATTATGTAATTAAATACGAACAAAACACGTTATTCATGCACATATGATATAAGCGTGTCTCTCTCTACGATATAACTGCCTCGAGGTAATCAACTGACTTTCCTCTCTCTAGCCTCTCCAATTCACTTTACACTTACACAATAACATGTATCCGAGCTCTGCCAGAGGTCACTACAGTAAACTTGAATGGTCAGCATTCAAAGTCATATTAAAAAGATGTCAGTTCTTGATCTTGAATCTAATTTTGTTAGATTCTTGAGAGAAATCTTGTCTCGCAAATTACGATTAAAAAGTATATAATACACGAATAAATATATAGATATATAAATAAAATACACGAATATTAATTATTTATAATATAATTTTTAATGTTTATATATATTTTATTTTATTCTACATTTAAAATATTTATTGAATCTAATATTTGTATTATAATGAATATGCACGATAAACACAAAATTACTGCAACACAAGAGTTTCGGCACCTCCTCTTCGTACAACTATGCCATCAGTCTGTTTGTTTTCTTCTGCACATTGAAGTTTGCATACAAAAATTCTGAAACATACGAATATTTGTATTACAGATGTATGGGAGACATTTAAAAATGGTATAAAATTTATAAAAATTTTATAGATTGCTTCTAATTTGATAATAAAGCTACTATTAACATTTGATTTCTAATTCACTAATTTATTTAAAAGTTATTGCAATTTAAATGTCCACTAGTTTTATATATAATCTTATGAAAATTCGTACTCTGATTGATTATATTACGTTAAAAATATCGAAAAAATAGTGCTATGAATTTTTAATTTTTTACATGTATTGTATATCTGGAACTTTAAAGAACAATGTTGCAAAATTACATTAACATTCACCAAAATATTTAGAAGAAAATAATAATAATTTGTTGAAATTCTGGTTTTTTTCCGATTTCTGAGCATTCGGTTGTGTGTTGTGTCAACGCTAAAAACAACTGAAAGCTAAGATATTAAACATAGCGATTTTCTATAAGATGAATAGCGTTAATACTTTTGTCTCCGATTGCATCTCCCATACATCTTTAAGTACATTAAGAATTATTACAAAATTTCGATAATATTAAAAAATTTATCTAAGATAAAGATTTAACTAAAGATTTTAGCCATTCATTTTTATTAGATGTATTTCAAAAATATAATTATACAGAGAGAGCAAAATTGATTCTATAGATATTATTATTTTATAATATATACATATATAGGGCTCTAAAAATGCCAAATCTGGTACAATAGCTTTAACATGTAAAAATAACAAGTAAAAAATATTTAATAAACATATATCCAAATTCGAACAATTTTGAAGTTATAGATATTAAAGTTACTTTTGTACGAAAACATAAATTGAAACAAATATTATTTTTAACATTCTTTATTTTGTTTAAAAGTTTATAAAAGATGCTCAAAAATTACTCTGTCGACTTCAACACATTTTTTAGCCCAAATTAATAAATTGTTTCAAGCTTTTTGAAAAATTGTTTTGCAAATAATACCAATTTCTTTTCTTATAAAAACAATTTTAATATATTGTACTATAACTTCGAAATCATTTGGATTCGGAGATATATTTATTAGATTCTTCATATACTAAAGTTGTTATATCAAGTTTGTCATTAAGTTCAGAGATACCCTGCCCAGCAAACACAATATATATTAATGTTATATACTCAAGCATGTTACATGTAACGTATATGTTAGTTGTAATTTCCCACACTCATAGATGTAACATTTTTAATATTACATATATTACATTGTAGTTATATTGTCATTATATCCCAAGATAGCACTGACTTATCAATACATCAATGTGCTATTTGGTATATAATTACAATATAACTACAATGTAATATATGTTATATTAAAATGTTACATCTATGAGTGGGAAATTACAACTAACATGGATGTTACATGTAACATACACGTTATATTACCTGTTATATTCCGTTTTATTATAGCAATGTAACAATTATATATCGGTGTTTGCTGGGTGTATATATACATATGTATACATATATGTATGTACATATATGTACATATATAAGTATAATGGTCTCCTTTATATTTCTTCTCTTGTACGTGTTTTACAAAAAAATTCTGACACAAAAGTTGTTTGACTTTAAAGGAAACATAAGACAGCAATATCAATTTGTTTACAAATATAGCGTCACTTTCGAGAATCATTACTTTTTTTTTAATAAAAATAGATTTTTTAAACAAAAGTTGTAAATCTCATTGAGGTACGTAAATTCAATTATTATATTACATGTATTATATTATACAGGGTGTTCACATTAAGTCTGCACATGCCCACCTCCTATGTTTCGGAAACGACTCAAAATTATAAAAAACCACAAAATACATGTTTAATTATTTCGAGGAGCTACTCTTTTAAGGAGGTTGCAAAAGTTGTTATCCCAAAGAGATAACCCAGGAGAACCTGAACTTAAACATTTCTAATGGAACCTCCTATATTGTACTATACCGTTTGAAAGGGCATAAAAAAGAAAATTTTTGACATAAATTGGAGGTTGATACGTTGACTCGTTTAGGAGGTTGATACGTTGAGTTGTTTAGGGTCAAAGTTCGAAAAAGGCCAGTTTCAGAAAATATTTACTACCACATAGAAAACCTTAAAAAAACGTTTGAGGTATGAAAATGTTCGTCTTTTTAAGTTCTTTCCATAAAAAATTTAAATTTGATCTTGAGGTTTTTTCAATTTGAAAAAGAAGTCCATGAAAGACATAGATTTAACAAATTGCTTGGATTTTTTCGAACTGAAAAATTTCAAATCTAAATTTTTTTATAAAAAAAGAGTTAAAAATAAAAAACGAACAAGACAAACACTTTCACAATACACAAATTACTTGATACAATATCAAGTGCTTAAAATAATCTCGAATCTAAAATTTGTTCTATAATATGCACAAATAAGGAAAACTAAGTGTGAACTGGACTGGATATTTGTTTACAACTTTATAATAAAATGCATTTCTAGCCAAAAACTTCATGTAACTTTTTCTCTTATTTCCACTTGTGATTGAATATAATGAATATGCAGTTTGTCGAATAATCAGAGCACCCTGTATACTATATATTGTGTATACGTATGCGTATGTGTACATATAATTTTACTTACGATATAATATTTTTCCATTGTTGCGTTTGATTTTCATATTGTATAATGTATTCCTTTATTTTCTCTTGTTCCTTATTTAGATTTTTTAAAGTCTCTTCTTCCTGCATAATAGCTTTCTGTAATTCCTGTTTTAATGCTTGTTCTGCGTTGTTAAAACCAAAATTAGACTAAAATAAATAAAAGATTATATACATCACGCTTTAGTGCAAGCAGTTCAATAAGTTTTATTGAAGATAATCATAAATATTGCTTATTTAAAAACATTTATATTACCTCTGTTTCACTACGTAATTTTTCTTCAGTAATCTTCATTTTTGTAATTTTCTGTTGTAGTTTTTGCTTCTGTTCGTTATTCTGCAATACAATGGTAATTATTTTATTAGGTATAAATATTATATACAACTGATATAAAAATTACCTTTAACAATTTGTCTTTCAACTGTTTAGTTTCAGATAATAAATCGCTCGTCGTATTTTTCATATTTGTTTCTACTGTATTATGACTTTTGTATGCTTTATGGTATCTTTCATCAGTTTCACGCGCTGTTTGTCGCAATGTCTTGGTATCTACGACATACATACATCGTATATATATATATATTAATTGATGAAAGGCTCGTATAAATTAACGAAATTAAAAGAAATAAATATAGTAAGCCAACTAAACGAGCAAAATTACAAGATATAAAGATTTATTAATAATTAAATTCTCATTCCATTAGAGAAACAATATACAACGTAAACGTTTCAACTGCACTACAATCTTCTTCAATACATAAAACTCAAATATTAAAATACAAAGTTAACGATTCTTCGCTGATAAACAATGAATACCTGTAAGATGATTGGTCTGAGATTTCAAGTTTTGCGACATTTAATCATGATTATCGTTTTAACAAGTTCTTCTTCTCGAAATTTCAAGTTTGTGTTGCGAAGTCTAAATAACAAATGTCCCTTTTTGTTATTTGGACTTTAGAAAATTAATTTTTTGTTTAACTTTTTATTCTTTGCCATCATTTATATTAATTTATGTCAATTTATATTAATTTATAAATATTAATTTTGTAATTGATATTAATTAAATTAATTATGTTAATTAATTATTATTGAATTATCTATCTATACTTTAAAATAATTAAAAATAATTATTTATTGAATATACAGGGTGTCCCATAATTCGCGAATCACTGCGAATGGGCAGATAGAGCGTGTTAAACTGAATAGAAAAGTCCTGTATCATTTTGCGATATTCGCAATAATTATTGAGTTATTAACTAAAATATCTAAACGAATGAGCGGGTAGAAAGCGGTAGGCCGGACTCGGTGTGCATGTCGGATGACTTATTTGTTATATGCCGCTTAGTATCAAAAAGTATCATCTTACTTTTCGGCGCCACTACATTGGTCGCCGCTCGCTACATGACGCCGCCTCTCGATCAAATAATGCTTTCTACCTGCTTATTCGTTTAGATATTTTAATAAATAACTCAATAATTATTGCAAATATCGCAAAATGATACAGGACTTTTCTATTCAGTTTAACACGCTCTATCTGCCCATTCGCGGTAGTTCGCGAATTATGGGACACCCTGTATATAATATATAAACTATATATTAAAGTCTAATCATTAATTATTTATATTCATTATGTGCGTATGTTTTCTATTATTATCTATTACTCACACATGAACCTAACGAAAAAAGTACAAATCATACTAATCTTTCATATATATATATGAAAAGATTAGTATGATTTGTACTATATATATATATATGAAAAGATTAGTATGATTTGTACTTTTTCGTTAGGTTCATGTGTGAGTAATAGATAATAATAGAAAACATACGTACATAATGAATATAAATAATTAATGATTAGGCTTTAATATATAGTTTATATATTATATACAGGGTGTCCCATAATTCGCGAACCACCGCGAATGGGATATATATATATACATATATATAATATAATATATAATGTATATTTAAAATATTCATATATAATATAATACTCGTATATATATAAATTTTTTATATATATGTATATGAAAAAAATTAGTATTATAGTAATTAGTTATATAATTAGTGATATATATATATATATATATATATATATATATGATACAATGTAATATATGTAATATTAAAAATGTTACATCTATGAATGGGAAATTACAACTAACATTTACGTTACATGTAACATGCTTGAGTATATAACATTTATATACTGTGTTTGCTGGGTTATGTCTAAAAAGATTATACATCGATTATCCTCTTTTTCTAATGTAAATTTTAGTCTAGCGTTATAATTGTTGAATTCATTCAAAACGTATGTAATATTGTCAACGGAAGTGCATAAAATAATATCATCTACATAACGAAAATAGAAAGTCAGTTCGCAATTTAAATTACCAGATACCAATGTTTCCAAGTCCTGCATGACTATATCGGCAATGATCGGAGAAAGTGGGGAGCCCATAGGAGTCCCATAAATTTGTTTGTAAGTTATGTTATTGAAAGTAAAAAATGTAGAAGTTAATATAAATTTTATCATATCATAAAAGGCTAATATCTGAAATGATCCATATTAAAGAACAGAAAAATGGAATTAATTTAAACAAAGACACTGAATTGCTCGACAGTAGTTATTTTGACATACTTAAAAAATTAGCTGAATCATAGTTTAGAAAAACATTGGTAATAAATATATACATCACGCTCTCTACCTTAACATTTGTTATTTAGACTTCGCAACACACATTTGAAATTTCGAGAAGAACTTGTTAAAACGATAATGTAAGTTTAAAATTTTTCAATTTTTTTCTGATATTAATTAATTCGCGTAAAATCTCCACAGCATGATTAAATGTCGCAAAACTTGGAATCTCAGATTAATCGTCTTACTTATCCATTGTTCATCAGCGAAGAATCGTTAACTTTGTATTTTAATATTTGAGTTTATGTATTGAAGAAGACTGTAGTGCAGTCGAAACGTTTACGTTGTATATTGTTTCTCTAATGGAATGAGAATTTAATTATTAATAAATCTTTATATGTTGTAATTTTGCTCGTTTAGTTGGCCTACAATATTTATTTCTTTTAATTTTGTTATATATATATATCCATATAACATATATGTATTGTATATACATATATACAGAATATCTCTAAAGTCCGACCCGGGGTCTTTATCATGGAAATGGCTTAAATACGAAAAATGTTTTAAATAAAAGTTGTAGGGTTTCAAAAGGGATATAAGATAGTGCCATTGAATTGACCTTGAATAGTTATTTGAAGGTCACGTGAATGTCACATTGAATTTCTTAAATGGAACTACCTATATTTTATTGCACATTCTTGTACGTTATCTCAAGAGCTTTCCGAAACCCTAATTTTTTTCATCAGGTACTTTTTGAGTTATAAAGGTTTGTAGTTAACAATTTGTTGACAATGTAAAACATCTTGTAAAATATTCAATTTTCAATAATCATATTTTAATACTTTTTTGCACGGAATAATGAGACCAAATGGTGTAAAAAAATATATAGTTGCTTATAAAAAATTTATGCAACTGCATGTTGAATATTCCATAATTTTTTTAAAAACAATTATCTGTTTCTTTATACCAGTGTGTATGTATGGATGTGAGTGTGGGTGTGTGTGTGCGCGCGCGCGCGCATTGTCAGCTTCAGTTGTGTGTGAAAGACTATTTAGTTTTGCCACAATATTTAACATTGTAAAATTCAATCGCCTGACAAATGACAATTTTGAAAAAAGTATTGTCAAAGCAAACTGTATCTTTAAGAGCACAAAAAAATAAAAAACACTTGATCGTATAATAGAAAAATCACAATTATTAAACTAATCTTATTAAAGAAATATTTTATTCATTTCTTTTCTTCTGTATGTAATTGATACTTTACGCTTAATTATTAATTAATTAAATCATCAATAAACATCTGAGTACCTAGTGATGAAAAAGTAATTTAAAAAATCAATCAACAACTAAAAGGCAATAAGAGCTAATTAAATTCTATCAATTAGTAATTTATTTGTGAAATGATGTATAATATAAATATTAAATATCATTATAGTATATAATACATTATATACGATTGGTACCATAAAAAAACGTTTTCTGGTAGATATCTGAATTTTCTTTCTCAACATCCGATGAGTCAAAAAAGAGGTACAATAATGGGACTGGTTGATCGAGCCTTTTTATTGTCAGTTCCAGAATTTCATAAGAAAAATTTAGAGTTAGCAATTAATTTATTACTTGAAAATAATTATCCTCTGAAATTAATTTTGACACAATGAACCATAGACTAAAATATTTAATTGAACAACGTAATAATCTTATAAAAAATAATGACCACATTGAAAAAGTCTCGTATTTCTGCATCCCATTCTTACCGACGCTTAGTGAACAATACAGAAACATCGTTAAAGACATGAACGTTAAACTCTCTTTTTACAGTCTTAACAAATTGAATAAATACATAAAAGTACACAAAGATTCTATTCCTAAGTGTTCAAACACCAATGTGATATATAAAATAGATTGTAAAGAGTGTAATGCGTCGTATGTTGGTCAGACTAGTAGGAAATTATCTACTAGAATATCTGAACATCGATCTAATATACACAGGAATGTAAAAAAATCTGTAATCACTGACCATAGATTAAAATATAATCATGAATTTTGTTGGGACAATGTAAAAATACGTGATAAAGAATCACAATATAACAAAAGATTGATTTCAGAAATGATATTTATAAAAAGGCAAAATAACAGCCTCAATTTAAAAACAGATATTGATGGCTTGCTAGTAATTTATGACGATATTATACATAGACTACCTAAAATTTGAAAGTTAAAAAACATAAACAACGAACTATTTTTCTCACTTTGCGGCCATCTTTTTGAGAGTTTAGAACCATTCGTTATAGCAAGCTTGAGCAATCAACATCTTCAGCCTTCACATCAAAGATTTCATCTCACTTGATTTAACTGTAAGTCTATTTTTTATTTTTATTTATCTGCATTGTTAATTTTCGTACATAATGATTTTATAGACATATTAACAATGGCAGTTATCGAGATTCGCAACCGACTTCCTAACAGAACAATTAGTGAGAGATCCGTTTTGCGACAATCACATATAATGACGTTTTGAAGAATAGTTTATATATAAATAATGCTCATGCTTCACAAATGCGTTGTTTTCGCTTAATTAAAATAAAATATCTTGACTCTGTATAGTTTTAGTATAATGACATTTATAAGTAATTTATTGTTAAATTTTATTAACCTCTAATTTTTAATTGTATGCGCTGAAGAAGGTTGGAAAAGACAACCGAAACGTTCAAACGAATTTATTTCCGTCTGATATTTAATATTTATGTTATACATCATTTCACAAATAAATTACTAATTGATAGAATTTAATTAGCTCTTATTGCCTTTTAGTTGTTGATTAATTTATTAAAGAGCTGTTACAAATTATATTAATTTAAAAAATATTGGATCTGATTATGTAGATGTAGTAACCAAATAATTT